AGTTGGAGCGCTGGATGAGCACATGTAAGAGACTGGGGGCTTTTGATTTTGGGGTCTAGGGCAGCAGCACCCTATGTCCCAAGGAAGGGCATCAGACAAGAGGTCTGAGCCAAGGAGAGTGCCCTGTAGACCTACAACTTAGATTTTACCCAGATGGCCTGGGAGCACACGGGAGCCAGGAGTGGGTCCACTCTCAACAGACTGTTGACTGCAGAGAGGCACTGGGCCAGAGTTTAACACAACAGCTGCATGAAAGCTTCCCAGTTTGTTCAAAGGTCAAGCTGTGAGGTCTGCCAGAACTACCACGTTTGGAAGTGGCGGTGCTTGTTCATGTCAATTCATGTCAATTTGGGCCATTGACTTGATTGGGTGCAGGAGTTGGGAGGAATATAGGCTGTGCCTGTCCAGTCTCAGCTTGCTGTGGCCCCTTGATGGAGCCCTGCAACCTCCTTGGAGTGGCGGCCGCGGCCCTGACTGGTTTTCAGAGGAACGTCTGCTGTTGAAATTGCTATGCTGTGAGGTGAGACCAATAAACCAAGAGTAAAGTGGTTTTAAGGCTGAGGCTAAACTAGGGAATTTCATGTGATAGGAATGCAGCTCCAGAGCAGAATACATGCTCTGCCAGTAGTATATAGGCACAGAGACCTCATAGGGGGGACGCCCAGTGATTTCCCTGAGCCTCCTGAGTTCATGGGGGCAGGCCAATCTAATGACCAGGAGAGATGCCGTGTGACCAACCATGTGGCTTGCATCAAATGTCCAACACCTCAGAATCTATCTATTATCAGGGAGAACCAGACAGCACAACCTTCTTGAAACAAACCCCTGCGTGTTAGCAGAGGAAGCTCTGACTTGGGAGAAGAAAAAATGGCAAAAAAAACCCACCTTAATTTGGAGTGTTGCAGACTTTCAAGTTGGAGATTTCCCGCTCTGCCAGTTAACACTACTCTTGGCAAAAGGAAAATGAGGCTCGTTCTTTGTTTCTGACCTTTTGAGGACGGTTGCATTCCTTGTCAGCAAACTGTCTGAACTTAACACACAATGGGGTGAGATAAAATTGGTCTCTGGTTCTGTAACTGTACTTAAATCCTTCTAAACTTGGCATGTCAGGTTCACTCCCACCGAGGATTGCGTTGAGATGCTCAGATGAAACCACCAGGCTTTGCTTGGGTCAATGAAAACCTCCTGGGAGATACTGGTGTCTTGACATTATCAAAATGTGAAGTTGAAGACCTCCCCTCTCCCAGAAAACCCACCTCTCTCCAGACCTACCTTGTCTAGGGTGGGAGCTTAGTGGTTGGCAATACCCCTCTGGTTGAGGGTGGTGCTTTGCATGGGAATGAGCTTCTTCCCAGACCTTTCCCCCACCAGTTTCACAGCATCAGTCCTATAAACTTGTGGCAGCTCACCCTATAACTGCTGCCTACACTGGACTTGACCTTAGTCTAGGGTCTGACACCTTCCCTTTCCCCCAAACCCTGCCAGAATGCACCACTGTGCTAGAGCATGCTGACTGATGCCTGTATTTAATTCTTGCCAATAATGGATACACGCCTCCCTCCCCTCACCTGTTTTGGGGACTCCCTAGCACTGCTGTGCATTGTGGGGTGCATCAGAGCTCAGAAAGACATAACAGGCCAGCCATGAACCAACCATGGGACCGTCAGCAGCAGCAGCATTTGGAGTCCCACTGATTGCCACACAGAAGGGTGGACAGGCAGCCTGCTTCTCTGGACCATATGGGAGGGGGCTTGCCTTCCCTACTGACCCACGTAGAAGATGGAGAGCTCCAGTCAGCCTGACTGCTCAGAAATATCAGGAGTGTGTTAGGTGCCGTCTCGTTGGGAGAGAGACCTGCAGGCCGCCCGGCTCCCAGCAGATTTGCCAAAGGGAGATTCTGAGCCTGTTGGAAGAAGGGAGTAATAGCCAGTCTTAGAACCAGGGCACGTCTTCACTACCCGCCAGATCGGCGGGTAGCAATCGATCTATTGGGGATCGACTTATCGCGTCTAGTGAAGACGTGATAAAATCGATCCCCGATGGCTCTGCCGTCGACTCCGGAAATCCACCGCGGCAAGAGGCGGAAGCGGAGTCGACGGCGGCGCGGCAGCGGTCGACTCGCCGCCGTCCTCACAGCCAGGTAAGTCGACCTAAAATACGCAACTTCAGCTACGCTATTCACGTAGTGTAGACCTAGCCCCAGATTTGCAAAGCTTTCTATGACCGGGACCAGGTTTCGATTGGTAACAAGCCCAGGCACAGGTTCGACCTGGTGGGAGGTTTCATTGTGCAAGGTTCACGGAACTCTAGACGGGCAAACGTTTTACTAACCAACACTCGGCATCAAAGCAATAGTGTACAAATATTGGCAAGGAAAGGGTAGGCACCCAGGATTTGAATCTGAGATGACAATGTCACTGGCCATTTAGTGGTTTGCTCTTGCTGTCAGAGCCAAATCTTGAACCCTGGCAAAATTCCCATTGAATGGGAACTTAGTTTGTGTTCATTTATTTTTTCACTCCCGTTTAAAATTGCTACATTTATGTGGCTCTTGTGATGCTAAAGAGCACTGACCATTTCTAAGAGGAATATAATCCACAATCAGTTTTTAAAAAAAAATTTTAATAAGAAAAACATAAGCGTGGCCATATTGGCTCAAACTAGCCCATCTTGCCAGTATCCTGTCTTCTGACAGTGGCCAGTGTCAGATGCTTCAGAGGGAATGAACAGAACAGGGTGATTATTGCATGATCCATCCCGACGTCCAGTCCCAGCTTCTAGCACTCAGAGGTTTAGGGACACCCCTGGGGTTGCATCCCCTGATCATTTTGGCTAATAGCCATTGGTGGACTCATCCTGCATGAACGTATCTAATTCTTTTTTTAACCCAGTTATACTTTAAGCCTTCACAACGTCCCCTTGCAACGAGTTCCACAGGTTGACCGTGCCTTGTGTGAAGACCGTGCCTTTGGTTTGTTTTAACCTGTTGCTACTAATTTTCATTGGATGACCCCTGGTTCTTGTGTTATGTGGTGGAGTAAATAATGCTTTCTTATTCACTTTCTCCACAGCATTGATGATTTCATATATCTCTAGCATATCCCCCCTTAGTCGTCTCCTTTCTAAGATGAACTGTCCCAGACTTCTTTTAATGTCTCCTCATATGGAAGCTGTTCCATACCCCATATCATTTTCATTGCCCCTCTCTGCACCTTTTCCAATTCTGATATGTCTTTTTTGAGATCATGCAGTTCTGGTTGCCCCCATATTCAAAGTATGGGTGTACTATGGATTTACATAGTGGCGTTACGATATTTTCTGCCTTATTATCTATCCCAGGGGTCGGCAACGTTTGGCACGCAGCTCGCCAGAGTAAGCACCCTGGCGGGCTGGGCCAGTTTATTTACCTGCTGATGCGGCAGGTTCGGCCGATCGTGGCCCCCACTCGCCGCGGTTCGCCGTCCCGGGCCAATGGGGGCGGCGAGAAGCGGCGCGGGCGAGGGATGTGCTTGCTGCGGCTTCCCGCCGCCCCCATTGGCCAGGGACGGCAAACCGCGGCCAGTGGGGGCCGCGATTGGCCGAACCTGCCGCGTCAGCAGGTAAATAAACTGGCCCGGCCCGCCAGGGTGCTTACCCTGGCGAGCCGCGTGCCAAACGTTGCCGACCCCTGATCTATCCCTTTCCTAATGGTTCCTAACATTCTGGTAGCTTTTTTTGACTGCCGCTCCGCATTGAGTGGATATTTTTGGAGAATTATCCATGATGACGCCAAGCTCTGTTTCTTGAGTAGTAACAGCGAATATAGACCCCATGATATTGTATGTATAGTTGGGATTATGTTTTCCAATAGGCGTTACTTTGCACTTATCAACATTGAATTTTATCTGCCATTTTGTTGCCCAGTCAGCCAGTTCTGTGAGATCCCTTTGTAACTCTTTGCAATCTGTTTTGGACTTAACTGTCTCGAGTAATTTTGTATCATGTGCAAACTTTGCCACAGTGTAATTTGTGGGTGTCAAGTCTCAACTGTAAATTATGGCTTCTTTGAACAGTACATAAGTGGATGTTTATGGAACTAAAGCATAGATTTGTGTGTTTTGTGTGCATAGATATACAGACACTTGTATTTTTCTTCACCAGAGTGTAGATTCTTATGTGAAAGTCATCTTTCTCCCCCCCAGTTGTACACATTTTCCCCTTGAAAAATGGGCTAGTGAATATTTTATAGTAGGGTTTTTTTTTATTGCCCCTCAGTGAAAACTTCATTTAATGTAGATTTAACAGGTAGTATCAGGACTCTTCTATCATTTATAATCACGTAAATAAAATGGTAATTTACGCTCGATAAAGGATTCACATGTTTATGCTGACAAGTTAACATGTGCCTTTGATACTTTTAAAGTTCTCAAGAGACAGTAAGAAAACTTATATATGAGATAATATATGGAGATAGTTTGGCACAATTGGATTTTAGAGAAATATCATAAATCTTAATTAACTGGGTTCCTTCTGTCATTTACTTATCTGTGATTTCAAGTTATTTTTCTTGGCTCCATTGAAATATTCAATGTTCTTTTCAGTGAATCATATACAACTCTCTACTGCTGTGTTTGAAATACGGAAATGAGGTTTAATATTTGTGCCACAAATTAAACATTGCCAATAATTACCAAGGACAAGCAGGTTAATTTCGATACATGTATGAGGAATACATACAAGTACATTACATAATGAATCACTGAGCTAAATTACAGCTACTTCACAGCTATGACTCATTTCTTGGTAGAACGCTTTCTGGAATGTTTCAAATCCAGCATTTTCATCTGCCAAAGAGCAACAGTTAAATTAAGGAGGGATGTGTGAATCATGGAGGAGCACAAAGAAATAGTAAGAATCGCTTGAAAAGTAGGCTTTGAATTTTGACCCACTTTTGCAATTGTCTTGTCTGAATTTTCACCAGTTGAATGCCCATGTTGATCATCTGCCATGTTTTCCTGCAGAACTCCTTCCCAGGGAACCTGCAGTTAGTGATGGTTCTACGTCCCACTGGGTTTTTCCAGCGCACTTTCACCGACATTGGATTTCGCTTCAGTCAGGAGGATTTTCTACTCAAATTACCGGTATGAGTATATCAGCTGTGCATGATGCTCATGTCCTCCTAAATACTGATTTGGTTCCATGCTGCTGTGTCAGGGCCGTGTTCTCATTCAATGCCTGGTCATGAAAAATAAATGGGGCTTTTCTTTTAACGATGCAGTATTTCAAACAATTGTAGCTTTTCCGAAGCGTTGGGTTTTCCTGCGGTATGGTATTGTGAAAAGTGCACATGGATACGGTTTTTCCTTTGGAAGAGAATTTGGTCAGTGTTTGAAGGTGCTGGATTGACAGCCCGTTCGTGTAAAGTTTGCTATCTGCAGAAGTAGTATTGTCCTGGGCAGTGGCAGGACAGGCTGAACTATGTGACTGCCCCCTATGCCTCCCCCGTGAGCTGGGGGGCGAAAAGGTAGCTCCTTCTTTAATAACCGTTTAACAGTTAGCATGTGTGAAGAGACTTCCAACGCAAGTACCGCGGTTGATGCCAAATCCGTCACGTTAATCTCAGTGTAAAAATGCTGTTGATATCAGCGCCCTGTTTTTATTAATTTTCAAAATAATTTGTATTCTCAATGGGATACGTTTTAGAGAGGCGCAACATTCTCCCTCTACGCTGCTGGCCTGTCTCCCCAGCCTAGGAAGGCTTGACACCATGTGCAGAGGCTGCTTCAGGTCCTATTCTCAGGGCCTCAGCTTTGTTTCTTCCACATAAAACTTGTTCAGCATATCAGTTGTTCCTTCCCCCTAACCCACGGTCTTCTGCTGGAGACAATCTGTTTCCTACAGGTTTCCACTCTATGCCTGAGAGTCCTCCACAGACTCTGTGCTTTTCCCTCCAGGAGCCAACCTACTCCCTGTAACTCCCTCTCCTGCCACAGGGTCTCTCACAAGAGCCTTCTTGCTCCCTGCGGCCCTCAACCCCAACTGAGCCACTTGCTGGCTTTGATCCCAAGCTGATCAGCCTCAGCTGGGAGGTAGCTGGTCCATCACTGGGGAGGCTGGGACCAGCTCTGCTTAAAGGGCCAGCCACCCTGTGTCACACCCTATCAGTGAAATCACGGGACGTTTGGGGACCAGGACCAATGGAGAGTGGTTAAAAGAAGAAATGCATTAATAGAACTTGAGTCTGAAAGACTTCGTTGTAACCCCCTCCCCAATAATATGTGAATTATTGCTCTATTATTTTTGCTTAAAAATCAGATTTTGCAGTTTTTGCACGGAATGTACATTTTTCACTCAGTTCTGTTTTAAACAACAAAACAAAACAAACAGCCCCCCTCTGCTCCGAAAGAATCCAAACACCCTCCTGCAAAAACCAAAACCCTGCAGCATCTTTGAAAATTCAAAATTCACTCAGGAAAAAGCTCAGTGTTTGCATCAGAACAGGTAAAAATGCATAGTTCGCATATTTCTGTGTGAAACTGGCCAAATACGGCTGTGCAGTGCCCTGTCGGAATGTTAAGAATATATTAATTTTCCACATGAAATTTAACCCTCTCCTCTCCCCACCAATCGCATCACTGCTGTTTACACATCTTGCCATTTTGTCCATGATGCTGCAATTGGATCCATGTGGGTGACTCCCCGCATTCGTGATCTGTGTGGTACTTCACTGGGGTGTTGCTGGGGTTTACCTGGATGGATCCTATTGCAGCATCTCAGGGCCTTTGTAAGTATGCAGTTCCTCTTTAGGCCCTGACCTTATGAAGACTCACACGTGTGCTCAGCTGAACACTGCATGATTACTTCCATTGACTTCTATGAGACTGCTCACTGAGCACAGAATGAAATCTGTGCAAGAGTTTTTGCAGGGCTTCTACCTTATTCTGTGTTTTTCAGCACCTACGGGGCCCCGATTCAGACTGGGGCTTGTATGTGCTACTGAAAGAGAAATAACTAGAAGACACAGATTATCTGGAGTTCAGAGTTATTTTGTAACTGAATAGTCTAGGAAAAATCCTAATATCCAAAAGTCTGTTCAGATAAATGAAATCTAATCACTTCTACCTGCCCAAGCAGCTTCTGATCTGCACACAGGAAATCTGGGTGTGTTACTAATTTGTCCATCCAACTGAGACTGAAAATGGAGAATATTCTTTCCCTTAAATGTCAATGAAAGGCAGAAGAAATGGCCTACTTGCCATCCAGCCTCCTGCTTTGCAAAGTCCTCTGGCTTCACCCGCTCAGCACTGCACTTTGGATGGCTGGCAGCTGACTAGTTATGTCTGGCTCAGAAAAAGTTGGGTCAACTCATTTTGAGTGAACAAAAGTGAATGTCTATATATTCTAAAATAAGTGTACGAGTTGTATAGCCTGTAATCGATAAATACAAATTTGACCTCAGATACATGTAAAATGAAGGTGTGTCATAAAGAAATAATTGGTGCAAAAGCCAATTTTGTAAATACGGTAGAGTCTTGGTTTTAAGAATACCAATCTAACGAATGACAAGTGAGCTGAACCATTTTCTCCTGACACAAAAATAAAGGAGCACATAATGAAAGTACTGTCAGTGAAGAACAAATCAACATCCCTTCACATTCTGCTGCCTGGAAATCGCTTCGCAGTGGTTTGAAAGATGAGAAGAAATTTGGTGCAGTGTACAACACTGCAACTTATGCACCGTACTTACTGTGATATTGAGATGTTCAATTTTATAAAACTCTTCTATCCCCAATTAGTTTGTAAAATAGAGATTAGTACATGTTGCAGGCGTGAGTTGCAAGTTAATTGTGAAGAAGCTGCGATAAATCAATTCATGATGTTTCTTTGTTCCTAGGTGGTGATGCTGAGCTCGGTCAGTGATTTGTTGATGTATATTGATGAGAAGCAGTTAACCCCGGAGTTCGGGGGCACCTTGGAGTACCGTCATAGCGAATGGGTTATCTTCAGAACTGTACGTAGCGCTGCTTATGTAGTGTTACTCTGCATAAAGCATAGCTCAAGCAGGGCCCGATTCTACAAAGTGCTGAGAGCTGCCGCCCCCACTAAACCCTCCTTGGGAGGTGATGAACACCCTCGAGTCCCTAGTGAGCACCTTGCAAGATCAAGACCTTTGTGTAGCTCAAGTTATTGGCAGTGTTGAAAGGGATCTGAAAGAAGGGGGACTGTCTGTCATTGCCCCCTCATCGACCTGTCCCCCTGGCCCATCCCTCCATCCATTTCCATCCCCCATTTGCCCCCCACCTCACCTCTGCTCTTCCTGCAGCTCAGGCGTTGTTCATCCCCTTCTCCCAGGCCAGCAGGTTCCCCTCTGCCCCTTCCCAGTGAGGCACAGGAGCAGAGGAGCCGTCCTGTTGCTCAGAGGAGGGGAGAGGAGGGAGCCAGACCTGCCTTGAACTTCTGGGTTCTTTCTGCTCCCTGCTCCCCTCCTGTGTGAATGGCGTCAGCTTCTGCAGGGCGGGGGTCAGAGTTCCGCAGTGGCTCTGATTGGCTGCTCTTGCCTCGGTGGTATTCAAGTGAGGAAAGCAGCCAATCAGAGAGGTTTGCGCCCCTCAGGCGATACAACAAACGCGCCCCTCAGCGACCCAGCTGGCTTCTTAAGTTGTTATTTCCCAGGTACATGACCCGGTGCACTTTAAGCATTGCTTATTGACTAGGCTTTTCAAAGGAGTTCCAGGGAGTTAGTTGCCCATCTCCTATAGGAATTCAGCACCTAACTTCCTTAGGCCCCTCATCGCTTTAAGACCATTTAAAAATTCATCTCCTTTTGTCCCATTGGTTTAAAATGACAAATACACCTCTACCCCGATATCCTTGGGAGCCAAAAAATCTTACCGCGTTCTATCGAACTTGCTTTAATCCGCCGGAGCGCGCAGCCCTGCCCCCCCCGGAGTGCTGCTTTACCGTGTTATATCCGAATTCATGTTATATCGGGTCGCGTTATATCGGGGTAAAGGCGTATCGTGTGTTTTTCTTTGCATGTGGAGTAACGTAATTGAATAACGGTGTTTGCTCCTTGCACATGCTACTCTTTCATATTGCCAGGTTTCTATGACTCTGGCCTCCAGGCTTTCTCTGAGCTATATTCTGCCATCAATTTCTGTGCAACACCCTTTGATTTCAATGGACTTCACTTTCTGCTCAGAGAGCAATGGTAGGCTGTTCTGCTAATTATTATCCAGACAGCTCAAAACACTAATGAAAACTGCACCGAATTATTGCTTAAGGCTATAATCGTGGAATGAGCACCACAAGGCAGACCTCTGTATCTGCATGGAGCTCATTGCTGGATCGGGGCCACAAGCATCTCTTTCAAGTTCTGAACCTGGCATTAAGAATTACCAAGAGCATGTTATAAACACCTTTTTGCTTAACAATGTAATACACTGAACGTAATTTAAAAAACGAGGCTGAGAAAAGGTTGAGAAAACTGGGGGGGGGAATGAAAACACGTTGAATATTTCTGCTTGTTATGGCATTCACAAGGGCGATTCAGCTTAGATTCATTGGATGGCTTAAAGTAGCAGTTCTCAAACTGTGGGTCAGGATCCCAATGTGGATCGTGACCCCATTTTAATGGGGTCACCAGGGCTGGCTTAGACTTGCTGGGGCTCAGGGCCCAAGCCAAAGCCCAAGGGATTCAGCCCTGAGCGCGAGGCTCAGGTTACAGGCTCCTTGGCTGGGACGGAACCATTGGGCTTTGGTTTTGACCCCTTTCCCATCGAGGTGGTGGGACTCGGGCAGGCTCAGGCTTCGGTCCCCCCTCCTGGGGTCATGTAGTAATTTTTGTTGTCAGAGTGCAATGAAGCTTGAGAAACCCTGGCTTAAATCTTACTCTTGTACAAGGATTAAAATACATTAACTTCCCAGCTACTTTGAAGCTAATGGCAAAACTCCCATTGACTCTAATACGAGCAGGGTTTGAGCTGGGGTTTTCAAATGAGCTTTAAGAAGTTAATTGCCCAACTCCCCTTGAATTTCAATGGGTTGGGTGTGCCTAACTCCCTTAGGCTCATCTGAAAATCTCAGCATTGGCCCTTAGTGCACTTTTTGATGAGCTCTTAGAATATCCTGACTACTGAGCTGATGAAATAATTGTCTTCCACCAGGCTATTGAGAGTTTTGCACTAACAGTGAAGGAAATTGCACAGATGTTACAATCTTTCGGCACAGAGCTGGCAGAAACAGAGCTACCAGATGACATGTATTCAATTGAGCGCATCCTGGCTTTGCGCACAGAAAAGTATTGTCAGCTCAAGGTATGCTACTCAGAAACTCAGCTCTATGTTAAGTCAGTGTCCTACTGCAGGTAGGACTTCTGTGATTTGATTGACTCTTTGTTCTCTCTCTCTCTCCCTCCCTCCCTCTTCCCCCATATGCATGTGTTTCTGTTATGACAGTTAAAATAAAATGTACCTATTTCTGTATGTTACATCTATATTTGCTTTCACCCATTCAAACAATTGTCATGCCAACATCCAGGAAACTGTCTCTGCTGCTAGTTGCTTATTTGATAGCCATGTAGCTGTCAGAGCTCGAGAAACAAAGCAATTCTTGCCCATTCTTGAATGTGCATCACGTTCTTCTCCTACAACGTGTCTTCCAGGGAAGAACTATGAAAAGCTTTGTCAACTCCAAGTGCCAATGCTTCCCTCATGGATCTGCTTGTTAGGACCCACATCTGGCATATGCATAGTGAACAGAACGCCAATCTCCCACTATCATCAATGGAAGTTTTGCACATATAAAGAGAGCAGAAAAGTGTGGTAGATTTGAAGGATAATTTTGCCCCAAAGCTCCATACGTCTTATGAAGGTGGTTGCATATTCACAGATACTATGGGGCAAATTCTCTTCTCCCAGTGACTTCAGGAAGGATCCAGTCGTTTGAGAGGAGGCAGTGAATGCATTGGTGTAAATATATTGAGAGAATACACTATGTATTTTGTTACCCATGATGTGAGCTTTATCTTAATGTGAGCCCCTTTGTTTTATATAAATCAAATGGGAGTGCGGAGCCGGTGCTCGGGGCAGGGGCAGCGCGTGGAGCCCCGTGACCCCTCCCCCGGCCTAGGAGCCAGACCTGCTGGCCGCTTTCAGGGTGCAGTGCAGTGCCAGGACAGGTAGGGACTAGCCTGCCTTAGCCCCGCAGCACCGCCGACCGGACTCTTAATGGCCCAGTTGGCAGTGCTGACCGGAGCCACCAGGGTCCCTTTTCGACCGGGTCTTCGGGTCAAAAACTGGACTCCTGGTCACCCTACCGTCAAACAACTGTGTCCCCTCAGCTCTCCAGCCTGAGGTGCCTTTTACACCGCTTTGCTCGTAAACAGCCACCCCTCTAGGCTTTGCCCACACCCAGCCTATAATATGTAACCTGCTCCCAGCTATACATTATTGAGTGCCACTAGCTCTTCCCTCCACTGCCGCAATGGAACATTCTTTAAACTTCTTCCATTCTTCCTCCCCAGACTTAGTTGTCATTGGCAAAGCACGAAAGCCTTCCTTTACTTTTTGGCAGAACTCTTCTTTTCTTGTTTCTTTCATATTTAAAGATATATTTTACTTATTTGAGATTATGATTAAAATATTAGATGCTTAAACATGGATTTTTGGTACAGCAGCTGCCAACCATGCTGTTGTTTTTGATACTGCTGCATATGTGAGAGACCAGACTGGGTATAGTTCTGAAATCCTTCAGTTCAGAGATTCGGAGGCCAGAAGGGACCACTGTGATCATCTAGCCTGACCTCCTTTATAGCACAGGCCAGAGAACATGCTCAAAAGAATTCCTAGAACAGATCTTTTAGCAAAATATCCAATCTTGATATAAAACTTGTTGATGGAGAATCCACCATGACCCATGGTAAGTTGTTCTAATGGTTATTTACTCTCACCATTAACATTTGTGCTTGAAGAGTAATTGGCCAAATGCTCCTGTGGATTTGAACTCACAACCTACCTCTAGCACTGGAGGTAGAAGCCTCAGACCAATGCCAACAACCTGCGTGTTAGATTGCTCATGCATTCAGTGGGGCTACTAATACATAGTGTAGGATGAGGTCCTGTATTTGCACTAGCGTGTAATGGGTTAATCCAATAAAGTTTGTATATTTTTTATATATAACATGCTATTTCATTCCTATGGCATTGTCTTTATAGAAAGCTCCCAATTAGAAATACACACAATGGCAACCAAAACGTGCTCTGTGTATGTATACATAGGTGCATATAAATATATACAGCATAGGAAAATATTGCGGTATTTTTAGAAACTATGCCAGCTATGCATTGTCATTCATGTTTGATTTAACCTTTGTGCTTAGGAACAAATCCTTAGACAATGAAGAAAGTGTCAGTTACAAATGTGCTAGTAAATACAGACACGTCAGTGATGCCTGCTTTTTTTGTGGTGAAATCAAAAATACCATGAGTTTTCGTTTGCATTTAAAATATTGAGCTGTTCCTTTAGATTAATCATTCAGTAGAAATCATCTGTTGTTTATTTTTAAATGTCTCATTCATTAGTTTAAAAGGCTGTTGAGTTTTTGAACAAAATGTAGCCTAGTTGTGTGTGTGTTTTCAAGAACATGAAAGATTAAGCTAGATAAGAAATTGTGCACAGATTGCAGTAATAATGATACAAGATTCTTGTATTGCTGCCATGGCAACTGAAAGATTGGGGCAGGAGATTTCTGAATACATAAGAACTATCACATACATTTGCGCATTTGTGTAGCTGTGATACTGAACAGAAGCCGGTTGTAAAGGTAATGAGAAAAAGACAAGCTAATTAAGCAGACTCAGAAATTAACTCCTTTGATATACTGAAAGGGGAAAAATCATATGTAACACCTGTTCAGTTGCTTTTGATGCTTAGGTTACAGCATCTTCCCGTGTAATGGAATTGTCTGAAACAAAAGGAGACTTTAGGTCTCTGGAGAGCTAAACATGAGAGGGTAAAGTAGCAGCCATCTCTTGCCTAAAACATACTGCGTAATTCCTCTTCCCTTCTGTGTTTCCTGGATTACTGAAGTATCAAACATGGTCAGAACTTTTGTCCTAGGTCACATTAATCAAGAGCCAATTGTGATACTTACACATTCCAACAGTTTGCACTTCATGTGTTCTGATTGGCTGTTTGGTCCAACCCTCCACCTGCCCCTCCCTCATGGTCTCTTCAGCTCAATATCACTCCACACCTGCCCCTCTTACCCTCTGGTGCCTTGGCCTGGCCCCCTCACCCTCCTTCCCTACCCTTTTCTTTCCATTTAGCTGATTCCCTCCTAAGTAACCCTTCCCCTTCCCCTCAGCCCCTCTGAAAAAAAAGTGTAACTACCATGACATTTGCCACTCTCACAGTGTTCACCCTGCTTGTGTGTTTTACCGCTTCCCCTACCGGTGATGCCTACTCTATTTAAATTGTAAGCTCCTTGAGGCAGGGACCCTCTGGCACACTGTCTCTGGACAGCGCCTAGCACAATGGGGTTCTGGTCCATGACTGGAGCCCGTAGGCAATACAATAATATAAATAGTAAGTGTGGAAGAAAGCATGGGATACATAATCAAATCTGTTATGTTCTTTTAACATAGTAAGGCCAGTGAAATGCACAGAATCAAATGATGGATCTGCCCCCACCCTCCGTAAATAAACCAGTCCCTTGAGATACTTTAACTTGCTGGCTATGTATACGCTAATCTGGCCAGGCATACTTCCGAAGGAAGGGTGAGACTAGCTGCTTTTTAATCTCCTCCCTCCCTCCCATGATGCTCCTGCTGCTCCTTCCTATAGAAAGAAGAAATATCCAGGAGCATCACACGCAACTGGGTGCTAGGTGCGGTGTGCAACGGCACTGTACTCATGCCCCGGGCCTTCCCACTAATCAACAAACACAGCCGCACAGGTTGGCCTGACAGTACCAGGTGGGACTTTGCATTGCCACGGCAAGGAGGCAAGACAGGGGCCAGTCACAGCCGTGAAAGGCTCTTTCTTGGACAAGACTTGGCCTTCAGAGGGAAGTCGCCTGTTGCGATATTCCCAACCAAATGCCTTTGGTGGGATAATTGGGTCATAGCTAGAAGGGCAGAAGGTAAATGGGCCTGGTGCATAACTCTACTGTGGCAGAACCTTGTGCGCTCGTAGTTACTGGGCCTAGTGATTTAAAACTTTACCCTGGAAGCTTTTTGAGGCAGGGACTAGCTTGCCCTTTGTGTATGTACAGCCCCTAGAGCAATGAAGCCCCAATGTCAGGGTGGGAGTATGTCCATGCTACGAATGCTGCAGCGACACATCAACCGAGCTGTGTCGACGGTGGGGGTTAGAGTGACCTAACTACCCCGCACAGGGCATGAAGGGTTTCACGGCGTCGAGCGACGTCGCTAGGTCGTCGACCTAAGTTCTAGGTGCGGACCGGATCGGTGGTGCCACTCTAGACGTGGGTATCATTTTAAGAGGAAAGGGAGGGAGGAATCTCCTCCCAACCTCTAACTTGGATGGAAAACCCTGTTCTTTCTTCCCTTCCCCCACCCCCAATTTCAGCCCCTCCGGGGAGGGCAGAGAGGGATGCAGCAGGATGGTGGGGAGAAGGTAGCCGTCTGAGTTCATTGCTTAGTGCACCTTGGCACTCTTTCCTTGCCTCTGCCACTTGGGGCTGCTCTGTTGGGGAGACCAGAGGCTGATTTCTGGAGCTGCAGCCCCCATCCTGCCTGCCCCACAACAGGCTCTGTATGCAGAGCAGGGGGGTTGGCAGGCAGACAAGCCCTGGCCCCTGTCCACCTTCATTTCCCCCCACACTCCCCATGGAGCTGAGGGGAAGGAGGAATCAGCCAGGGGGCAGCCTTCGGAGGACACAAGATGGAAGAGGGGGTCCCTGGGGCGGGGAATTGTGGGGAGTGACCGGCTGAGGGGAGCGGTGTGGTGATAGACCTAGACTTGAGTGGCTCAGTCTTGGCTGTGTGGAGATGCAGGCTCAGGGATGGGTCTTGGGAGAGGGGAAGATGAGGGTTTTTTGGGGGAGGAAAGGGTATTAGTGGGGGGGAGGAAAGGAATTTGAGGGATCTGGTGGGAGAGGGAGTGAAGCTGGTATCTGGGGAAGTGCCAGTGAGCGAATGATTGAGGAGCGTGAGGTACTGAGACCCGTATTGGTAGCAGGGCATAGGAAGAAGGAGGCACTTGCATTGCCGGGGGATGGGGAGGGTTTGTAGCAGTAGGAAAGTCTGTATCCCTCTCAACTTTGCTGGCAACATTACTCCACCGGTCAGAGAAGTAATATGGAGTAATATTGATAAATAGGAGAAACCCACTGCAATGCACGCTCATGCCACACGTAAAGGAGTTGCCAGCAGAGCATGCTGGGTGAGAGCCCCTTAGCTCTGGGATGTACTGCTCCCCACTTGGTCTGCTGGAGCCCACCGTTGTTAACAGGATAGCTTACCCTGCAATGCTGAGAGTCTCTTTTATTTCAGACTAGTGTGTCCACATGGGCAGTTATACCAACATAGCTATAGCCGTTTAATTATCCCTCTGGAGTTCTGCCAGACAGTTTCCCCATGTTGACTAGCCCATCTTCCGGTTTCTCTTTTGCTTCCTGAGATGCGTCATTCAGCCCAGTCCAACACCCACAGCAGTTTTTCTACTCTCTTAGCATCACCAACCCTGCTCCAAACTGTCGCTTGCCATGGGAAAATAAACAAAGAAAACACTTTGCTCTGGGGCTGAACCTGATGTAGAGTGAATTTTTTCCGCTGAAACTCAACTGCCAATTTTTTAGTTTGAATCCACTTCCAATGAGTTTATAATGAAAACGCTGGCAAACCTTTGGTTGTGGAGACTCTGGCGCATGCGGTCATACGATCGCAGTCTCAGGATCAGTGCACAATCAGCACATAGTGGGTGGACGTTTGTTCTTCCTGTGATATTGACCTTGACTGAAAAATGCAACATACTAACTGGAGCAATATTAATTCAGTACACCAGCTGTTTATACCTAGTCTATCTAATATCTCGCTCTCTATAATCTTTATTAACCACTATATAATAACATTTCTATCGTGCTTTCCATCCAACGCTCTTAAAGCATTACTCCCCTGCGAGGTAGGTATAGTAGGTGCTAACATCCCCATTTTACAGATGGGGACACAGAGACCCAGAGAAATGAATTGACTTGGGCAAGCAGATCACTGTGGAGCCTGACAGTGTCTGAGAATAAACTAACCAGTAGTGTCCTACATTTGTGCAGGGAGATATTACAATAGTAACAAAAGAAGGAAACGTGCTGTTAAGTAGTTTAGAAGAGCCCGATGCCAACGAACGTAGTCAGAAACAACACCACGAAAGACCTGGAGACTGGGAAACTGTGAATCGGTGAGTGCAACGTGCTACTTGTTTGATTTGAAATGGGAACTCGCAAGATACTCAGACTAAAATAAGACTTTAAATGTATTAAGCCATGCGTGTACTTTCCATGGCAGCCGTGGTCAATACAGGGAAAGATACAATGATACCGTCATGGGTTCTGTTCCTATCTGTACCACTGACTTGCTTTTGCAAGTGATATAACCTTGCTGTGATTCTGTTTCCCCATCGTAAAATGGGAGGATGGGGCTTAGCACCCTCAGTGGCAAGTCCCTTAGACAGCATAAATTAGAAAGATAAAATAGAAGCAGTTTTATACCTACCTCACATGGCTATTATCAGCCTTACTGATGTTTGTAAGGTTCTTTTGAGATCTGCACGCAGTCATTTAGATCCACATCTAATGAGTTATCATCAGAGATGGGCCCTGAACTGAAAGCCCAGATTCAAAACGCCACAAAGTAGAGTGGACTCTGGGTCAGAACTTTGCCGTGTGGTCCCATCTCCCATAGTCCTGTATTGCCCAACTCTTTTTTTGTCTCGTCCTTTTTCATTCTTGTTCAGGTTACTCGCTCAGTTGCATGAGATGGAAACTGCTTTTGATGGCTTCTGGGAAAAACATCAACTAAAAATGGAGCAGTATTTACAACTGTGGAAGTTTGAGCAAAGTTTTCAAGAGGTATGGGGAGACTGATCCTTCCTCCCGCACAAATGGGAGTCCTGAAAAGAGATTTCAGGCACTATGCTATTGTCCTGTCAGGCACAGCCATGGTTGCTGCCTTCCATTCAGAATAAATGGAAAGAAGCCATTGTAATCAGGCAGCTGAAACAATGATAGTAGCACCCAAAACAACAGGCACATGTTAATGCTGAGTAGAAGCTGAATCCTGTAACCCAAGGGTTTTAAAATGCAGGGGCTGGGGCTTTGATTCGTAGAACATTTTTGTGTGTGTGTGCGTGCTTGCAAGCACCAGAGAGAGAGAGACAAGACAAGCTGAAGTAAGACAGACTGGGAGAGAGCCTGGACAAGCACAGAACCCAGAAGAAGCCAGAGAAGGGGCTTCTGGGTCCTGTGCTGACTAAAGAGGACTGGGGCTGTAAGCAAAGAAAATATCTCCTTTCGGCTTTAGTTCCTCCTGCATTCGGAGAAGTAGGATTTTGTACATCCCTTGTAAATAAACAAGGCAGAAAATACCAGACTCTGGTCAATTCTGTCTCCAAACCGGAACACTCTCAGAGCTCCAAACTTTGCCGCTTGAACCAAAAAGGGATGATAGTGTATAATACCTAGGCCACACCCCTGAGCGACCTAATCTCCTGTGTAGCTAGTGCTATGTCGGCAAGAGAGCTTCTCCCACTGACACAGCTACCGCCTCTTGGAGAGGTGTGTCAAGGCTGCTTCTCCACTCTGAACTTTAGGGTACAGATGTGGGGGCCTGCATGAAAACTTCTAAGCTTAACTATCAGCTTAGATCTGGTCCGCTGCCACCACTCCCAATGTGCTAATTCCCTTCCCTGGGTAGCCTTGAGAGACTCTTCACCAATTCCCTGGTGAATACAGATCCAAACCCCTTGGATCTTAAAACAAGGAAAAATTAACCATCCCCCCTCCTTTCTCCCACCAACTCCTGGTGGATCAGGATCCAACCCCCTTGGATCTAAAACAAGGAAAAATCAATCAGGTTCTTAAAAAGAAGGCTTTTAATTAAAGAAAAAGGTAAAAATCATCTCTGTAAAATCAGGATGGAAAATAACTTTACAGGGTAATCAAACTTAAAGAGCCCAGAGGAATCCCCCTCTAGCCTTAGGTTCAAAGTTACAGCAAACAGAGGTAAACACCCTAGTAAAAGGTACATTTACAAGTTGAGAAAACAAAGATAAAAACTAACATGCCTTGCCTGGCTGTTTACTTACAAGTTTGAAATATGAGAGGCTTGTTCAGAAAGATTTGGAGAGCCTGGATTGATGTCTGGTCCCTCTCAGTCCCAAGAGCGAACAACCCCCAAAACAAAGTGCACAAACAAAAGCCTTCCCCCCGCCAAGATTTGAAAGTATCTCGTCCCCTTATTGGTCCTTTGGGTCAGGTGTCAGCCAGGTTACCTGAGCTTCTTAACCCTTTAGAGGTAAAAGGATTTTGGAGTCTCTGGCCAGGAGGGATTTTATAGTATTGTACACAGGAGGGCTGTTATCCTTCCCTTTATAGTTATGACAAGGTGGATTAATTATGCCAATGGGAGAAGCTCCCCCATCAGTGCTGGAGCGTCTTCACTTGGTGCAGCTGTGCCGATTCAGTGTAGACCTGCCACTAGATAGACTTGACTGATGATTTCCAGGCTTTGGGATGATTTTTTAACTCTAACGTTCTTGCAGTTTGAGGTGTCTCACTTGGCAACCTTAACTATAACGGGATGAGCTTTTGGCTTGAGACTAATTTTGTGCTTATAACTTGTATCCTTTTGCAATTGTCATCTTCTTATTTTTAGCTCCAGAGTGTCATTGAATTTTTAATGGGCCAGCAAGCAGAACTGCCTGACACTGGAGATAGTGTGGCTGAAGTGAAACAAAGGCTCAAAGACTTGGGTAATTTAGACGGAATGGCTCAGGTGAGATAATCTTTCAAATGCTGGGTGTACCAATGAAACATTATAGGCGCTTTCTGAGAGTGCCAGAACTACCTCTCTGAAATGGCCTGACTTTCTTGTAACTCATCAGTAGGTGGCTACAAGCAGGTGTTGATTTCACGAGTCTTTCACCTCTGTGGATCTTCATTCAGAGCACATTGAAAACCCTAGGGCAATGAATTCGGTTCTCCTAGACAAAAAAAAATAATAAAAAAAATCACTGAACCATCACAAAATCCAGCACAGATAAGTCTGTCCATAGAGAAGACCAGGGGGCCGCAGATCTGGGGGAAGAGTTATTTATTTAATAAATGCCATTATTTGGTAACCCGTGTTCCATAGGTGCTCACTTACCAGTGAAGAGGCAAGACAAGTCCCCGGCTTGAAGTGTTGGCAATCTAAGTGGGCAACATATAGGTGAAGAGTAGGAGATGTGACAAAAAGGAGAGGGATCGGAGTGGTGAAGTTTTCTGGGAGTCTTGCCGATTGCATGCTTTTTGTATAGCGATATATAATGTGTGTGATAGGCATGCATGGCTACATACATATATGTAGGGTGGGATTTTCAAAGGCGTGTAAGAGAAGTGGGTTCCTAACTCTCGGTTAATATGACTGTGTGGCAGGGCCGCCCAGAGGATTCAGGGGGCCTGGGGCAAAGCAATTTTGGGGGCCCCTTCCATAAAAAAAGTTGCAATACTATAGTAACATGTATTTGGAAATGTAAAAAATAACCAGTGAAATACATTCAAAAAATAATTTTTAATAATTTGAAAATACACGAAATACATTATTTAAAAACATTAAATGCTTTAATGGTATGTATACATTTGCAATTACATAATGGGCTGTCACTGGGTGATGGGGATGGTTGGTGCCAATGGGCTGTCGCTGCCTGGGGGTGGTGCTACTG